CCCCACTAACGCTGACTACACGTTTTGGTTCTGAGGTGTCGGATTTCAAAGCGGGTTTGATCATGGATTGACCCCAAAAAAGAAGCCGGCTAAAATTGCCCGGTTCGGAGTGAAATGGATAAAGCCCATGGATATGACCCGTACACGTAAAATATATATTCTTTTTTTTTTAAATCTAATCGTTTGGCGCGTAGAGAGAGAGAGAGAGAGAGAGAGAGAGAGAGAGAGAGAGAGAGAGCAATGGGGGACCGACTGAGAAGAGAGGGATAAGTGTGCACCTCTACTGGTACTATTATCTTCTAGCCATATCTGTTCCTCATCAATCTGAGTTTTCTGCTCACTCTAGTTTCAATATGAAACTATCAATGCTGTGAAATTTTGTGAAATCATTGCCAACTATTTTAAAAGCTTAAGTTATTAGATGAAGGCGGGATTTAATATGTAATTATTCTAATACTCCCCCTCACACTTAGTCTGGTCTTTTTGCTTAGTACTAAGTATGGACATATTTAATTGGGGAGGCAAATGGGGTCTGAAAAGATTTGAACTCAGAACCTTCGACTCTGATATCATGTGAGATTTGGTGGGATCACTGCCAACAGTTTTAAAAGTTTAAGCTATTAGATAAAAGCGTGATTTAATATTTAATTATTCTAATAAGTGCCATAGGCATTGACACTAGACTTCTTCATTTGTAGGTTGTTGAATACCGTGGTGAGCAGGTAAGACGCAATGTGGTAGATCCTAGAGAGACAACTTCCAGCAGAGAGGGAAGAGACTGTTATGTAAGACAATTATTGCGTGCGCTGCATTTGCCATTATTGCATTTGTATATTTACGTAAGATTATAATGTATCTGAGAAGTGTTCACTTAGATAGTTTAGGCGTCAATAAAAACCATACGACTGTGCCCTGTTATATAAGTCACGGTGGAGAGTTTTGTCCATCGTGTTTATGCTGTTCTAAACTAAACATTTGCTAAGGGATGCAAGATTTCCATCACTCTTTTGACATTGTTAATTAATTCATTTACTTATCGATTGCTGAGGATGCATAAAGCCTGTGGGTTTAGGAAGTGTGTTTCTTCATGGTTTTTCCTCCCAAAGCTGTCTGTTTGACTCATCAAGTTCGATGATTAGCATCGGAATCATGATCTGCATTATCTGTCAGTTTGTCTTCCAAACATGATAAGACATTTTTTGCAGCTCTTCAAGATCAGTGAAAAGTTGAAATCAATGCCAAAAACGAAGTAAATATAGCTGGTAAGTTCCAATATGAACCTATATTCTTTGAAGAAACGACGGGCCTCTTCTGCTTCGAGTGTTTAACTCGTGAATTCCTCGTGTTAACAAGGCTTTTGGTGGCTCATCTGAACACTAAAGTCCTTGATATGCTGCAGTGCATGCCCAACTGTTGCGCCAAAATTTTGAGCATGGCCAATGATGAGAGTCGAATAGTTCTTATTGCAAAGACTAATGTATCTGCCGGCGATGAGCTAACGTAAGAATTCCTCCAGATTGTCACCTCCCTCTTTCTACTGTGTGTGTGATTATCTATTCGCGCGCTTTTTCTGTCGGGGAGGGAAAAAAGCCGAAGCATAGCAAAGTCGTCATGCGGGTTGTGACATTGACATTCATGTTGTTTTGCAGGTATGATTGCTTGTTTGATCCGGATGAACACGAGGATATGAGAATAGAGGCCGCCCGCCCTTAGCGGCGAGCATATAATTCTTTTAAATTGTTTCGCCCGAGGAAATTTTTATTAAATTGACAAGAATATCAATTGGATGACCACCAACAAATTTTTTGCTCGGTGGAGGTGTTTTCCTTGTGTATGTTTCTTTGTTTTCTCCAGGTCTGTTTTAATGAAATAGTGAAGAAGCCGCGTGCGGTGGCTTGTCATAGCCGCGACTCGAAGTTACAATGCTCTGAAGCTCCACCAGAGTTGGACATTACTCGAATTTTGCCGAGAAATATGTGCAAAGTAATTTATTTTCAAAGAAAATGATTTTGCTTTCTGATGCTTGGCTGCAGTTTGCAAATAATTGGAAAGTGTTTTTCCGATATTTGTGATCGGGAAAATTATAAGAACAATATTTGAGAAAAAGTCTCAAGTGCGACTTCAAGTCTGGGTTTAGGTGTTGTTGAGTCTCGGGGGACTCATGCCCGGCCTTTGCGGACCAATATCCGGCATAGGAGGACCTGGGCTTGTGGACCTTGGGCTGCGGCATGAGTCATAAGTCCGAGTGCTAGGGTACACAATCTTGTTGTGAAAATACAGGCTTTTCATCGATTATGAGAAAAGGCTTTTTCGTTGACTCATTTTTCAAAACGATCAAAAAGTCGAAAATATTAGCGAGGAATCTTGTAAAGATTTTCGTACTTTCGGTTTTAGCGAGGAAGCCGATGAATTTTTTTTCTTTTTGCCTTTTCAAAATGCTTCTTCAAAGTTCAAATGGGCCCTTTCACAAAATTATTTCGGATTACTAAAATTAGTTAAATAGGACATAAAATAATTGACTTTTCTTATAGCTTAACGTTGGAGGCAGAGGAAAGACAATGTGCTATGGAGCTTTGTGGTGGTGCGAAGTGTGTGACCTAATCACAAAAGTAGCACTATTGTTCTACACAGTCGTTTAATCTTTGTATTATTACATCATATATACTTTATTATTCACGAGGAAAACAAGGACGAGCCCAACACATTCATTTATAATATTAACTGAAAAAAGAAAAACAGAGAAAAAAAAGAGAAGTCGGCCAAAATTACCCGGTTTCGGAGTGAAATGGATAAAGCCCCCTGGAAATGTCCGTACCCGTATAATATATATGTATTTTTTTTTATCGAATACATATGTATATATGTATGGTTAATTAATACCACAAAAAACCCTAAACTGATACATTTGTGACAAATTTAGTCCAAACTAATTTTATGACTACAAAAAACCCCAAAATAGTACACTTATGATAAATTTACTCTCCGTTAGCTTTCGTTAAATTTTATCGTCAAATTGCTGAGTTGGATGGCACATGGTAGTCGACGGGTGTACAAGTTTAGGATTTTACCCCTCTGTTTGTCACAAGTTTACTAATTTATGATTTTTCGTGGTATTAATCTAATTTAATGGAGGGTAAATTTGTCAAAAGTGTACCTATTTCAGATTTTTTGTGGTTAAAAAATTAATTTGAAGTAAATTTGTCACGCAAATTTATTGCAGGCGTATCAATTTAGGGTTTTTAACGGTATTAACCATATAAGTATATATATATATTGCGTTTCCCGCGTATGAAGAGCATGACGGAGCTCTGCTTTCTGAGCCGAGAGATGGAGAGAGAGATCGCTCGCATCGCACCTCGTTCCTACAACAGCCGAGATCAAATGGAGGGACGACTGTTTAGACCACCGATTGAAAAAGGACGGTGATCGATCTAACGACTACAAAACTCCGTGAGCGGCAGGCTAGCAGGGCCCTAAAATCCCCAGCATCCCCCCTTTTGCCTATATAAAACCCCTCATTTCGCCCTAAAATCGCGCGATCCATCCACTCCAGAAAGCAGAGAGAGAGGCATGGCGGGTGTAGGACGACCGATCTCGCCGGACTCGGAGCCGGTGGCGGCCACACGGAAGGAGGCTCCGGACGCCGCCGCCGCCGCCGGCTGGGGGGAAGGACGAGGAGGCCGTCGACGCCGCCCGCCGCGCCGCGCCGGTGCGGAGATGGGGACCGTCAGGGAAGGTATCTCTCTCGCCATTTTGGTTGCGATGGTGTCTGGTTCCGGCTTTCGCATTTCTGTTGTTGAGGTGCGAAACTGAGCTCGAATGCTGCCGGCATCTGATCACGGATGCTCAGTTTTTTTTTTTTTTTTCCGTTTCGAGTTTAGTTATAATCTGGCTGCGACTCGCGGCTTCATTCGAGTTTCCATCTCAGCCTAGTCTAGCGATCCTCTCTGTAGTTCGATCCGTAACAGCTGATCTGATTGTCTGAGCTGCCGAAAACATGCGAGCCTTACTGGCTCTATTTGAAGTAGATAGGATTAGCACGGTACAGCTGCATGAAAATCGGGATAACTATAGTATCCGCTTTAGACTATGAGTGACGATTTGGTGGTTGATGATTTCGGCATATCTTGTTCTGTAAAAGTAGAAATAAAAGTTCGAAAGATGTGTTGGTCCCTCCTTGGTCCGACTTGCTTTAGGAAAAAAAGCTATCAGTTCTTCATTGTTCATAGTTGATGATATATTGTATGTATGTTCTCTTCGCTGCACATACCAACAGAGAGACAACGTTGTTGTGCGCGACAAAGGTGAGCAGTTCGGAGAGTTAGTTACCTTTTCCTTTCATCTGTGTTGTCCGTAAAACTTGTTTTTGTTTGCCCCTCCACTGGCCTCCACCCCATCAAATTATAGCAAGAATTCTCAAAATTTGCTTTCTCTTCTGAGCATGTGAAAAGCTATGGAGAAGACAGTGTGGACGGCAATAGCAAGGTTTCTGAGCGGAAGATCTCTGGCGATGCTCGCGTTGACCAGCAAATGGTTTTACCGTACCGTCTTATCATGGATGAGAGCATATGGAAGTTTGCTTGTTTGCGTGATCTTGGAGTCCCTGAGCCTAAGCAAGTTTCATTCAAGTGGATCTCGCTCTATGCTTCGGCTTTTGGTAGAAAACACAGCTTCTTTTTTTTTGACTTGTCTATGTTATAGAGTGCCGCTTGTATATACGCCTCATTTCTTTTTCCGTTCGACAAGATGGGAGTCACTCTTACGGGTTTTGTCAGCAGGAGAAGCATTCGGTGAGTAATTCTTCCGGTGTTCTTTTTCTTCCTGATATGTCCCATTTAAAGATGAGATCAGGCGAAAAAAGGTTAACTGCAAAGGAAGTTGTCAAACCTCTTAGACTTAGAAATAATAGTATACAAATAGTAAGAAGACTACATTCAGTGCATCATATAACATGTTCTGATTTTCATTTACAACAATGATGTCTTAACTTTTTCTTTCAATTGACAACTCAAAAGTGGGAGTGAATTGGTCCATTCTCTCTTGATTCATCACAGGCACTCCTGACTGGGAGTTTGAGTCCTGTGGAAATACCAGAAGCAGAGACCATGGAGAATATATTGGAGTCTGGCACCTATTGCTTGCTGAAAAACATCAGAACGGGAATCTGGATAGCTGGTACTCGCTAGTTGCAAAGTGGCCCGCCATTCTTTTCCACATAAAATGTTTAGTATGGACAATAGAAGCACTTTATGGCTTCTTTAACCTTATGCTTTTGCATTTGTCTGCACACAGATATGCGTCTACTTTGCTGTCCTATCTGTGACATCAGCAGTTGTCCAGGTAACCAATTGTGTTCTTGGATTAGCTAACGTAATATAGATCTCCTCTCTCTAGTTAAAACATATCGTCCCCGTCTTTGCTGACATGGGCTGACTACTCAGTACAAATTAATATTTGAATTCAAAAGAAACTGAGGATATCCGATCTATTTCAATTGCAATTGCTTGAATAGGCTAAACTGTAATGATGTTAGATACGCTCAAATGCAATATTGCCAACCCACAATGCAAGGTTCATGAATTTTGGATTTCACAACTCTCATGAATTAACTGGCATAGTCAGTCTGTTGCAAATTGTCTGACTTGGTTTCTTGCTTTAAACTGATGGTAAATTTCTTGGAGGGAATTATTTAGGCGTTCAAGGGGAGATATTTTAGTATCATCAGAAACAGAGAGATCACTTCCTTTCCATAGCCTCTTTTGGACATTGCGAAAATGGTCTGTGTGTTTGATTTAGCCACATGGGACTCAAAAATCTTTGCTGTGGTAGGATCCATGCTAATGTTGGAGGCAAGGCACATTGAACTCTTCCTCAACGAGGGATACCAGGATGGAACTTGGGAATATCAGGTTGTAGGAGCTCATGATATCAAAGAGAATACAGAAGCAGTTTCCGGAGCCATTCTTGATGTCAAACACCTCAAAGATTCCTCAACCTCAGGTGATTTTAGCACTTCATTCTTGCTTAATCATCATTGCTTTCCTGCTCAAAATGCCCAAGCATGCAGCCACCCACAGAAAGTTTCCCACTTTCATACAAACTACTGAGTTTTCTGCTAACTGCAATGGAAACATACAGAATCCATAGGCCCATGCCTAACTAAACTATCGCCCTCAGTGACAGGACCATCATATATTAGCAATCTGGATAGGTTATTTGCTTGCCGTATGGAGATTACAGAAAATTTTCGTAACTTTGTGGCAGCAGTTTTTGATGTCAAGTCATGGGTAGTGGAGCCTGCTTAACGGATAATAAAGGGCATCGCCACAGTCGTATATACTGATTTAGAGAAAGTTCAAGGTATTTCTCTAAATCAATCGGTTAAAAGTTGACTTTGTGCATATACTGAATAGCAGCATTGCTTCTGAATCGATCATGAAATGGCAGTAATAATCTGATTGCACAAATCGACATGGAGCTAGCTTTCTCTCTGTGGTATTGACATAAAGATGCAAAGAACTAAGAAGCAGAACGGTGACTTTTATTTTCACATTGACTGTTTTTCAACGGTATCGACACAGGATGGCATCTTAAATATCACGTCATGAGAGCTGGACGGTGAAGTTGTTTCGATTAGGATTGGCCTGCAGCTTCTGTGATTCATTTCATACCAATTTTGAATAAAAATCTGAAAACTCTAGATCAGAAACAAAATGCATATGTAATCTTACAATATCTGCGAGACTCCATCTTCTGCTCCTTCTTGGGGACTCATGGAGCCGTAGAACCAGTGCATGTATCAGACAGGATTATTAGATGTTGAATGTGCTGATACGTACGGACATGTCGATTTGTGCGATCAGATACGTTTTATTGCCATTATAAAAAATACACAGCTTGGAAGCATTGCTTTGAGCCAGAAAATGAACGTCACCAAATTGGTTTCGATCCAAGACGACACTGTACGTGCATTGTGTAAAGTAGATGGCAATGAAATCTTTTGAAGGCCCAAATCATCTGATGGTATGCAATTGTTTCCATCGATTGCTGACTAAGTTTCACCTTTATCACAGCTTCGTGACTAAGTTCGTGCTTCAGGTGGGATCATGAGCACCATTTCTTTGCAAGATGCTTCTTCGGGTTCTTGTCCAAAGGGGTAGTCTTGAGTAGGAAAAGTCTAGAAGCACGCTCCTGCAAAGTACCTCCACATTTCAATCCACGGGATTGCAGTTCAAGCTTTTAACCTTTCCAAGCCCAGAACCTGCAGGAGATAAGTGGGAATTGAGGAAGCCCAACTCTCTCCTCTCCTCCACCACACCCAGTTAAATTTTGCCTTCCGCATTGAATAAAGAAATGCCCTGATGCCTAGAGCAATTTTTGATAAATAGATATTTATTAGAAAGGAGAGGAGACTCGACCAAGCCAAGCATCTTGCCTTGCTGATGTCTGAGAACAGGGACTTGTTATGCATTACAATTCATTCCTTACAACAACTTCCGCAAAAGAGTTTACTCACCACACTTGTTACTACGGTCAGAAGTCAATGTTCCAGCCGGAGAACGCATTTCTTCTCCACCATGACGACCCCACTCAACAAATGGCTCCGCTTCAGCTACTCCATATCCACTTGTCCACGTTACAGTCATCTGATATCACATTTCAAAGCTCATTTTATCTTAGGAATTGGTATTTGTAGACAAACCAGGGATACACGTGTGCTAGCACAGGCTGCATAGCTTAAAAGAAGAAACTTATGCATTTGTCAAAAGCAAACTGCACTGCCAACTCGTCCCTGTGATAATTTCTCCTATATTCTACATCAAAACTCGAGGCAAGTCTTGACACGACATGAGAATAAGACTTAAACACTACATCGATTCATTGAGAGGAACCCGAAAGCAGTACGACACGACTTTTACTTGAAACCTACATGAATTGAATATGCCTTCAACCATTTTGAATGATAAATACTTTGTAATCACATTTAAACATTTTCAAAATGGTGCGACATGACACGAGTAATCCACCCGGAAAGCCAAATTGTCAGTCCACCCATATACACTCAACTAATATTGGAGCAAAAGCAAAGCTGCTTGGCAACTTGGGCATAACAAACACGAGCAACTTGAGACCAAACCTGTTTAGTTGGAGTTACTCCCGCAGCGAAATATAATTCACTGAAATTAGTTTTTTGGCTTTTTAACGGAAAAAGATAGGGTCTTGTAGCGACTTTGGACATGAGATATCCAAGTGAGAAAAGGAATCCAATTATTTCAACCGATATAAAACAAACTTGAACCTGTACCAATATCTGATTGATGGCACACTCAAGCAATACAATAGATACAAACCAATCGTGCTGGATGCTACACAACGATGGTATTGGTTTACACTGAAATATCACACCCTAGCTTCGTCGATGACATGAGATGCACTAACATCTATCTAACCCATGAGGATCTATAGCTAAGGTAAATTGAAAGTATAGTGCAGAAAGCTTTAAAGATAATAAAAAGATGACATTTTGATTGTGTTTTCAAGGGCTTCTGCTGGCTATCAAGTGGTATTTATAATGAAGGCATGATAACCGTTCCTCAGCAACATCTGTCAATTTGTATTCATCAAATAACTTCCATCGATTCTATCTTCACCCTTTATTTCCACAATCTGGAGTTACCCACGTTCTTGGATAACCGTCTTCATCATGTGCAGAACTTTTCGCTCCTGTCGATAACCCTCATGGCCAGGTCTTCAAGTAGTAATTGTTCCCTCCTCGATATAGGCTATCTCAAGTTTCAAATATTTAAAATTTTCCGCTGGCACCATTATTGGTGGCTGCCAGTTGCTTGTCATTGTACTTCGATAACTAGACACATGGCATACTTAAGGGATACATTATTCCCTTATCGATGGGTATTTGTATACAAAACATAACTCACATGATACACAAGTAGTTATTTTCATTTGTGGCTTCTACTTTATGTACTTCTTTAATTTTCATGTAATTTCTCTTGCCGTCGACAACCAGATTATTTTTGGTGTCAACAAAACCAAACTTGAAAACTTACTACTTTCGTGAAAGGCTTATTCTCACGATCTTATCAATGGATTGTAAATCTCTTAGACTAGATTGCAAGGATATCGTTGTTTGGTGAATTCCTTAGTAACAAATTAAATGTGGATAGCCTGCTTTTTTTTTTTTGGTAAGGTTGGATAGCCTGCTTTTGATCACAATAAAAAGTGAAATTAGTTCATTACCATGCAAGAAATGGAGAACTCAGGGAATGTGTACAAATGCAATATCCCATAAAATACATATTTGAATGGAATGTAATTTAAAAACTTTACAAATGACATGAAAATTATCCAAACGGACGCAATATATATGGAAAATAATCGTATTCCCCCCGAAAAATTCTGTCAGGCTTATAATGAAGATACACCATTAATGGACTCTGGAGATTCATATATGGTAATTAATATACATACAAAAATGGAATCCAGAGATTAATGCATCAATTTCCATATATGTAGGGTTGGTGTTATAGTGGCGCTCGAATTGCGTATATATAAAGGTTGGTATTCTGTTTAATTTTTCACAACCGATCATACCGTCAAAACCTAAAGAGAAGTCAGAAAAGAAGGTCATCAAAATGGCTTCAGGAAGAGTTTGTTTGTTCATCGGTGTTCTTTGCCTCATCTCTCTTTGCTTTGCAAGTATTGTTAGCTTCTGTTTCATCTCTATTGAGTTCGTTTCTGTTTCGATTTAGACCACGCTTGAGACTGGACAGTTCGAAGGAAGCATTTATCTGTTCGATCAAATTAATGAATCACCATGTCCATATAATTTATATTATGTCTTCGTTGATTGCTGAAATTTCTTGAATTCTGTTGCATCTCAGAAACATCAGTTGCGACAGAGATCGAGGAAGAAGAGACTAGGTTTATTGACGTAGGGCCGTGTTCAAAGTTCCCGGACTGCAACAAGGCTTGCATCAAATTGCTGGGGCTTAGCGTGACAGGGTTTTGCAAGACTAATGCAGCCGGACTCAATCGTTGTCTTTGCAAAGTTACTTAGATGAAATTACATATATTTGAGCCATGTCAAACTGTTTGCATCATGGCTTTGATTGTTATGAATAAAATTCCATCTTCCGTACAACTTTTCTCAATGAATGATGGATATTTGGAGCAAGTTTAGTAATCGCCTCTCATGTCTACCCCCGTCTATTTATATTTCTTTTTTTTTTTCCCCTTCATTAGATTGATGGACATACATACTTCGCAAGCTTAAGATGCGTACCTGAATTTGCTAATATGTGATCTATAGTTGTAAAAGTTAGGTTTTGGGATCCTATAAGCTCTCCTTCCCACAATTATCGACTATTCTTGTGATTGACCTTGAGAAAAATGAAATTTATCAAAGACAAAGTTTTTAATTCGATCTTTTGAAGAACAATTTCAAAATTTGAACTATCGAATGTTAATAGTTGTGACACGTTGTCTGCTATTTCGACACTAGCATGACATCAGATTACAGCCGTTTGTAATAGTTGATATGGTGGTGAAGTAACTCAAGATGAAATTGAAAGTTTGATGAAGGAGAAAAAGTCTAATGTTGTTTAGGCTAATCTTCTCAACTAGAAGCTGTTCACCTTGGAGACCCGATGTGGTTATGAGTACGATCGGGCGTGGACGACACTTGGTTCTCTAGATTTTCGAGGGTCGCCGAGGGCGCACCAGACACCATGTGACGTGTGGTGCTCTTTCAGCCGCTGGACCCTACCTCCGGCTGAGTCGTTTCCAAGCTCTTTTTTATTCATACCAATTTTGAATACTAATTGGAAAACTCTAGATCGCAAACAAAATGCATATGTAATCTTACAATATCTGCGAGACTTCCTCTTCCGCTCCTTCTTAGGGACTCATGGAGCTGTAGAACCAGTGCATGTATCGGACAGGATTATTACATGTTGGATGTGAAGGCAGTTGCATGATATGCTGGTCTCTTTTTCTTCCTCAGAACCACTTCCATTAGAACTTGAAGTATACGCGTCTCCATCTCGTTTCCCACTAGTCCAGAGAGTCGGAGCTTCCATCCACTTCCCTACTCAAATTCAAATGCATTGCACCATCCGAAATGGTAGTCTAGGTGAAGGTAAGTAAGCTCAAGGTACGTATATCTGCCGATGATGCATTTCCATGCGACGATCAATCAACGCATCAAGTGGCCATTAACAAAAGGTCGTTGGCCTCATCGTCCGATTTATTAGATGTTGTTGATATGTAATT